CGCCTGGCGACGAAGACATCTGTCACGGTGCCGAGTGTCCTTTTTGAATCTCGGTGTCGAGTTTCTTGACTTGATAGCGTAGATCGGCAAGTGGCGTATCGTTCACGCTTACAGTAAGCTAAACGCTGTCACCATTCCGGCACAGATGCTGATTCATAGGAAGGACGTTTTACTAAACAAAATAGTTGGATTTACAAAGTACAGTGCACTCGACTTGGTCGATGGGTATTACCAGTTGCCCATGAGAGCGAGTGAAATTCCGCTGACAGCGATGAGGACTCCTAACGGGATGCTCCGGGAGTGGCTAGTGATGCTTCAAGGGCTGTTAAATGCACCAGCAACATTTGATCGTCTTGTGATGTAGTTGTTCAGGCCCCACAGGGCGTATGCTCAGACATACTTCGTCTACACCTTCGTTCACAGTCGTGCGGGGGCGGGCGGACCAATGAGAAAAACCACATCGTTCATTAGAGAGCGGTGCTTGAGGGCATACGCACGAAAACGCTGTATGCTAATGCCGATAAGTGCATCATCGGCGCTGAGAAAATTCTCTCTTAGGGTGTTTAAATCGAAAGCGTGGCCTTCGACCGGATCTCGCTATGGACAAGGCCATTGTGGACTGGCCGGTTCCAAAGAATCAAAAGGACATGCGCAAGGGACTTGGCCTCGCCAACTACTTGCACAAGTATAGCGAGAATTTTGCGGAATGGCACGGCCATTGTCGAATCTCCTTAGGAGGAATACATAAAGGTGTCGGGACACAGAGCATCGGGAGGCTTCTGAAAGGGTCAAAGACAGTCTCTGTCACGCATCAATACTGGCGTTGCCATACCCTGATCGTCCTTACATCGTCGTCTGTGACGCCTCGCACTTTGCCATCGGCTGTGCACTGCTGTAAGCAGACGCCGAGAGGCAAGATCGGGTGATCGCGTTTAAATCTCGCCAGCTCAAGGCTGCAGAGAAGAACTACCCAATGACAAACACGACAAGGTACTTTCGATGAAGTATGCACTTGTCAAATGTAGGGTTCACCTGCTCGACTCCAAGCCGTTCGTGGTCTACACAGATCACGCGTCACTACGCACTGCAACTCCGTCGCCTCACCTCTCGCAGAGGATGACCAGGTGTGCAGTGGGCTGCCGTAGCTCTTTGCTTCAAGGAAGCTAGACGTTCTATACTAGAACCAGTACGAGTGTAACGGTTTTCAGTCCGCTAACTCCAAGAGTACCCACAACCTTAACACATACACTTTCGTTGAAAATATCAACTGAAGTTCTTCTTTTTTTGCGGCAGAACCGCCTTTATTTAAATCTATACGTTTCCAATTTTTAGAAAAACCTTATCAAAATGCAATACGATTGGCAGTCCCGCCACGTAGTGGACTCTTCTTATGGTGTAGCCACACCATTAAGTGGTCACTCCATCTTGTGCGACCCCCCTTATTTTCCCAGGATATATGTAACCCCGTTACGCTCTTCCCATTAAACTGTGAAAACTCACAATTCACATTTAAATGTTGCCCCGTACGAGGCTCGCGTGTCAAAGCCACCTTTACGCCTCCAGGCGATTCTTCACGCCTTCACTTAAATGAGCCTTATGTTTATGACACGAAAGACACTCAGCTTAGCTGGTTCCGAGAACGTCCGTGAGCATAGCCCTTCTTCGTCTCCTGCACGCGGTGCAACTTCAGGCAGCACGGCCGCGGCTTCAAAGGAAGCACGCCTCAAGCCCACACCATGCCCGCCACGGACAACGGATAACCTTGTCAAGGATTTGAAGAGTCGACTACGGTTCAATAACTCCTTCCCATACTGGGAAGGAGAGAAGGGCGAGGTGACCTCTCGACTTCCGGGGGAGAGGTAACGCACCGACGTGAAAAACAGGCAGCAGCTGGAGGCTGTCAGCAGGACGGCTGTGCGCGCTTATCCACGGCAGGCTAAAGCTTCTCCAGAGAGGAGCGCATAGCGCGCAAAGTCTTCGACCTCCAATCGATTCATGGCTCATGGTGTTCCAACCATGCCATACCAAGGGTGAGGTCATACTTTGAATCCAAGTCTGAGAATAAGCAGCGTTCTACGCTATCAAGTCAAGAAACTT